CTTCTAATATTACAAATTTTAAGATTTTTTTCATTTTGAATTCTTTTAAAAGTCTTGAGAAATTATAAAAAGTTTCATTTTTGTGTGTTAAAAATAATATCCATGTATATCTAGTATAATCATCAACACAAATAAGAGCATATGATTTTTCTCCTAAACTTAATGTTCTAGATGGTCCGAATAGATCAATATGCAAGAGTTGAAGTGGTTTAGTAGTTGAAATGATATTTTTGGATTTAAAAGAAATTCTAGTTTGTTTTCCAAATTGACATGCATCACAAAGTTTGTCTATTTCAAAAACAATTTTTGATAAGCCAATGACTAACTCATTTTTTGAAAGTTTGGAAATTAAATCAAAATGAGCATGTCCTAATCTTCTATGTCAAATCCAACCATTATCATTTATAGCAGATAAACATTTAATGTTAAATGAGAAGACAAATCATGTAAATCAAACACATATACATTCTCATGTCTATCAACTACAAATAAAGTTTTGTTTTTTAGGGTGTTCTCAATAATTCAATGAGTTTTCTAAAAAATAACTCTATACCCTTTATCACATGATTGACTAATACTAAGCAAGTTATGTTTTAAACCTTTAATAAGTAAAACATTTCCAATAATAGGAGAAGGATCTTTACCGATACTACCTACACCTATGATTTTACCCTTGCCATTGTGGCCGAAAGTCACATATCCTCCATCTTTTGGTTGAAGTGTGGCGAACATAGATTTATTTCCGGTCATGTGCCTCGAACATGCACTGTCGAGATACGATCTATTGTTACTAGATTTTGTCTTGAAACATACCTACAAAAATTTGATTTTTCTATTGGTACTCATATTTTATTGGGTCCATAAAAGTTAGAATTCGACACTCTTGAAATGTCTTTAGGAACCCACATTTTTTTTTTATTTTAACAAAATGATTTCTTTTAACAGGACATGAAGGTGAAATATAACCTTTTGTACCACAAAAATGACACGTGAGATGAGAGTGATTAGAAGATGCATGCACAAAATCATTTTTGACAGTTTTTACTTTTAAAAAAGGTTTATATCCAATTCCGGCTCTACCAAAAGTACGATTTTGATTTTTAAGAATTTTATCTAAAGTCTCTCTACCTTGAGTGAATTTGGAAAGAGTATTTTTCAAGTCTTCGATATTTTCTTTCAAAACAATTTGCTCCTTTTTTAAAGACTCATTTTCTTTTTGCAATGCAACTAATGTTTTCTCAAAAATTAAAGACTCTTTTCGAGTTAAAATATTATTTTCCTTTTCCATTTTCATGGTTTCATTTTCTAAATCATTTATTTTGGAAATAAAGGATTCATTTTCTTTTGATAAATTTGAAATCACTTTTTTTTTACAGTTACTTTTCAACCTAAGCTTTATAAATTCAGCATGTAATTCATCAAAAGCTAATTGTAATTGATTAAATGTAAAAGATTTTTCATTTACCTCATCTTCGTTTCTAACTACCATTAAGCATAGGTTAGCAACCTCATTTTTGCAAATTTCGATTTCTGAGTCGCTTTCGTCACTATCTTCTCACCATGCTGCAATCATGGCTTTCTTCTTGTCCTTCTTAAATTGTTTCTTAAGTTTCGAACATTCTGATTTATAGTGTCCAGGTTTGTTACATTCGTAGCAAGTAACTTTAAATTTTTTGTGATTTTCTCCCTTTTGAAAATCCCTATTATTGAAATCTTTTCTGAAAAATTTTTGCACACCTTGTTTCTTTTTCACAAACCTTTTGAACTTCCTAGTGATGAATGTCATTTCCTCATCATCATCCGAATCATCTTCCTCATCCTCTTGATATTTGGAGGTGGATTTGAAGGCTATTCATTTCTTGTTGTTGTTGTCCTCCTCATCTTTTTCTTTTTGCATTATGAGCTCATGAGTTAAGAGAGATCCCATTAACTTATCTAGACTTAGCTTTGATAAATCATTGGCTTCGATAATGGTAATGACTTTTGTCTCCCAACTTTTTGGCAATGACCTAAACACTTTTCTTACAATTTCAGCATTAGTATATATTTTTCCAAAAGAAGTTAAACCATTAACAATATCAGTAAAGCGAGTAAACATTTAAAGAATAGTTTCATCAGGCTTCATTTTAAAGAGTTCATAATTAAAGACTAGCAAACTAACTCTAGATTCTTTAACTTGTTCGGTTCTCTCATGAGTCACTATAAGTTTATCCCAAATTTCTTTTGCGGTTTTACATGTGGAAATTCTGTTGAACTCGTTGGCATCTAAGGCGCAGTACAACATGTTTGTGGCTTTGACATTAATTTGGGTCATTCTAGTATCTGATTCATTCCACTCATCTTCAGGTTTCGGTACCCTAAGTCCATCTACGGTTTTGGTAGGAATTTTTGAACCATTGCAAATAATTTTTCAACATTCATAATCATTAGATTGAACATGTATGGTCATCCTAGTTTTCGAATAGCTAAAATTTGTGCCGCTAAATAGTGGTGGCCTATTGGATGCTTGTCCCTCAGGTAATGAATAACTAGGGGTTGCCATGATCTACTCTAAGACAGTTAAGTCACACAGACTAGAGTCTAGGCTCTGATACCAATTGTTATCCTAGGTAGGCAACCCAAGAGAGGGGGGTGAATTGGGTTATTTAAAAAAAATTTACAATATTAAAATTTATAAACACAATATTCAGAAATTTAACAAATAAAAAAGGAGAAATTATTGGAAACTCCCATTTGGGAGAGTTTTAGTCTAACAGGTCCTCTTTTTATATTAATACACATCAAAGTCCTGATTTTTTGGTAACGTGATCCGAAGGGTCCCACTGTGTGGTTATAGAATGGATTTTGTGACTAATGTACCCTTTCTTTTTCTTTTTTCTTTTTTTGTGGCTGGAAACGTTTTTTGGAAGGGTGTTTGAATTCTCTTGATTACGTTGATCTCGGTGTGCACTATATGGGTAGATCATGTATGGCTAGATTTTTAGGGATGATGAGGGTCATGAGTATTTGAATGCTGCGTGGGAGGGGGGGTTAAGGCGTGCGCGTTGTGTAGTGGTGTAGTTAGCTATCTGCTTCAATGTTGAAGGCCATGGTGTTGTGTTCTTGGATTGCGGCAACGGTAATGTTGTTGGTTATTTATTCGTTATGTTAATGGATTTAGTTTGGGGGAGTAAACGTTGACATGTTGTTCGCGATGTCGACTGTGTGTAAACACATGTATAACGTTGCGATGGTTACACCCCACAAAAAAATCGATGTCTTTGATACGTGTTTGCGGAAAGCATAAACAAAATGCACTGCTGATTTGGAAACTCCAATCTGACATATCTACGCCCAAAACAACAGCGTCATAACAGTGCAACAATTTCATTGGAAAACCCTAGACCAGTCTCACTACATCATGTTAGCCATCGAATTCCTAGGTTGTGGGGGATTACACTTCAAATTTGAGGTGCTAACACTTCACAAAATGGTCAGAATGTGGGGCTTCAGAGGCTGGTTTTGAAAACTGATATAGTCCATCAAAATGTGGGTTTGCAAAATAATGTGGTCCATCAAAATGTGGGTTTGCAAAATGATGTGGGCCAATAAGATGTGAGTCATCAAAATGTGAATCACCCAACATACACTATTAAACCCATAAACCTCTATAGTACACTTTTTTCAAACGTTACGTACACATACATCATTCAAACATAATATCATAAAACAAATATAATACATAAATGGGCAAAACTGTCAACCACCAAATAATGGGACCTTTGGGTGTACAAAATTAAATATGGGACTGATTAGATTACAATTTCACATTTTAGGATTTATGGGTCAATTCCCTAATAAAAAATAGAATAATAATTATTAATATGAAAAATAAGAGAGATAGGGAGAGAAAATCAAACATTGAGATTTATAGTGGTTCGACCCGCCAGGCCTACGTCCACTCCCCAAGGAACCTCCTTGAGAATTTCTTTACTATCAAAATAAATTAATAAACCACCAAGTTTTCACCAAGCTTGTGGATTTTGCACAAGATTTACTCTTATCTATTGAGCCTCACTCAACAATAAATGCCTCACCCTTACAAAAATCTCTCACAAAAATAATGAAAAAATAAGTGGTACTTAAACCCTCGTTTACAATAATTCTCTCACAAAGAGTAGATATGAAAGTGTAAGAACAAAGGCTACACTTAGATCTGAAAGTGAAAGAGCAGAATATAATACTCAAAATTTTGAAGCATACAAAATTTTTTCTCTTCAAGTTCTTGATTTTTCTCCATACACAACACTTTTATTTATACCCAAAAATATACTTGTTGGAAGACAAGACGCTTCTCGACAGCATATCTTTTTTTTTTCTCAGTCCACTTTTCCTTTGTCCAACTTTTACACCTTTTCTTTGTCCACTTTTTTCTTTGTCAAACATTACACATTTTCTTTGTTCACTTTTGCAGGCAAGTCATCATAATTTTGAGTATAAAATTCCATTCATATAAAAGTCGCCCCGCTCGAGCGTCCAAACCCCCGCTCGAGCGTCACTCACAAACTCCCGCTCGAGCGTCAACAATCCCGCTCGAGCGGCGGATACACACTTCCAGAACTTTTATAGAACCAGGTCTCCGCTCGAGCGTCAACCCTCCTGCTTGAGCGTCACATACAACATCCTGCCTGAGCATCAAAACTCCCGCTCGAGCGTACAACACTGCAGAGGAGATACTGGAAGATGGAAAACTACGCTCGAGCGTCGAAAACCCCGCTCGAGCGGACAGGCAACAACGAAGGGCCCGCTCGAGCGTCAAAATCCCTGCTCGAGCGTGAAGGCCAAAATCTGGGCAACTACTCTTGGTTTCTAAGTTTAACCAACCTGTTTCAAACTCGCCCAACACAACCCAAGACTCGAATGCAAGGAGTAAAGGATGTAAACAAGACATATACAACAACCAACTCCACGGAACCTAAGTCCGAGTACAACAGTTAAAGAAAAGGGAAAACTGGGATTGCTATACCTTTCGTGTTCCCAAAAATGGATGGGTTGCTATCAGGTTTCTAGCAAATAATCCAGGTACATTCTTGATTTAAAAGGTTGCATTTATTTTACGGATTTGGAAACCAACCACTCTATATCAAAGTCTCGCAGTACTTGCATGAGTACAATTGGCCTTAAAGTCAGTCATTCCTTGTAAATTTGCTCTTGAAACCTTTAGAACAATAGAGTAATACTACATTGATACCTATTGCTTTAAAACTAAGTAACCACCAAAATAGGTTTTAACTACAAAAGTGTTACCGCCCACCCCTGAAGTTTTAAGTAACCCATAGTGCTTGAGCACAAGGTCACTTATTTAACTAATTATAAGTTATTCTCAAAATAATTTGGGTGCCTAAGTGCTCATATTTTCAAAGTAGCTCTGTTTCCATTTTATCTTTATTACACAATGATCTGAATCTAAGATATTATTGACCTAATTGAGCATTTTGTTGATGACCCTTACCTTTTCTCGTCCTGGTGGGCACAGGATCCTCTATCCCAAATCCATGTCCTTTTGTCTCAAAACAATCACAATAGTTGGATAATGATCTAATGACTTGAGTGTTTCGGGACAAGGGAACAAAGGAATTTTGGAGATAACAGATCCTTTACCCGGCCTGTGCACCTCATAACCTGTTAATATTTTCCTATGAACCCAATGAATCTCTCCTTATTCCTATGAGCACAGATTGGATACTATATGCAAAAATACTATTATATTCTATCTCCTTCTATACCCTTTACAATATATGAATTTTGAAGTCTGGACGATGTGGAAAACTTTTGTCTTACGACTTAAAAATAAAAGATCCATCATAAAGAAAGAAACGAAAAGCAATTTGGTTGGCCACTTCTAGTTGTTCTTGAGCTTGTTTGGGCTGTGAACAACAAGGATCAAGTATTGCCTGCCTAGTATCACATTCGAAATTTTAACTGAACTTTTGGTGTGTGTCGTATGCATCAAAAAAGTTTCAAATGTCAAGGACGAAATTGAACATGGATGATTTTGGCAGGTGTATGGATGCGGCATTGTCACGTGATTCGTCATCTTACCTGGGGTATGGTAACCGCTTTTATCGTGAGAGATGGTGGCACTCCTGAGACAAGTATGCTCGATCCCCCCCCTTCCATGCCTTCTTGTGGAAGTCCATTTCGTAATTATATCCATGAGTTCCAAAACTCGGAAAAAGAGCTCCCATTGCCAGATGAGTAATTGACTTGGGGTTGGTTCAGATTAGAAGAAAAAGACTTCAACTTGATTTTATTAGTTGCTGGATTTGATATAAACAAATCTTTGATGGATTTGTGAACTTGTATTGAATTTTAAAGCATTTGTACTTGGTGACATTGCAGTTGTTATGCACTAGAAAGTTGTTATACATCTGAATTTTAAAGCATTTGTACTTGGTGACATTGAAGTTGTTATGCACTAGAAAGTTGTTACACATCTATTTTTGTATTTCTTTGGAATCAATGAGGTGGTCATAAATTATTGTGTGTATGGTATGATATCATATCTTTTCTTCAAGTCATTGGACATTTCACTAATGCTAACCAAAGGTGGCTTAAAAGCTTGTGCTCCCAAATGAGGTAATATATGACCAGTAAAGAATGAGGTTGAATCTGACCTCATTGAAAGCAGAAATGATGTTACAATGATCATATTTTTATACTCCATGTCTCAAATTGTTAGTCATTTTTCACTATTTCAAACATCTTAAAAAATAATTTATATTTTTTAGTTTACTATTTTTTCAACAATTTTAAAGACTATTTACAAGAATTAATTGAGATCTTTTACAAAAATACATTATATATTGACCTAATTAAAGGTTATGAATACTGAAAATACACTAACAATTTGGAACTGAAGGAATACCATACTTGGTTTGTCTTGTAAGTTGATATCATTGCAGTAAAAACAATAGACATAGAGTAAGGTGTGATAGGTGACGATTCACATTGACGCAACAGAATAAATCACACAAGGTTAAATATCGTTCTAGTAGACAAACAAAATCATTGAATCTACAAGGAAGAAAAAAAAATTCAAGAACTAAATTATATTGCATCAAAGATGATTTGCCCTAAGGCATACATGCGTATTTATAATAAACTGAACCCTAATTAAATAAGGAAATAAGGAATTAGGATAATTCCTTACTAGCCACAAAAATAAATAGAAAATTACAAAAAATAGAAAATATGAGTTAAGCCCAAATTTGCATACTAGGAAACAACAGAAACGCGCCAATATAGACGGTGCTAAAAACAAACTTTCCAAAATAAAGTTATTCCCAAAATGAAACTTTCCTAATACAGCAAAATCACTAATTTAAAGGCCTAAACGAAGGAATTTGGCTAAAATCCACCGTTCGTCATCACCAAGAACGACAATGACTTCGATTTAATACACTGTTTCCAATCAAACTATCAAATTTGAGACAATTCCGAGCTCGTCCCGAAAGTGCCACTATTGTTTTGAATTTGGTTTCTTTCTTGCCTTTTAGCGGTCTAATTGTTCCAAAAAATTTTCGACTACTTATTCTACATCACACATGATATATCAATTATGTTATATAAATATGATTATCGTAATAGTATTGAATGATGTACACAAACATAAGAGTAAGGTGTGATATCTTTTGATTAGTGGTTGTAAGTTACAACTTGTCTCACATATTCGACTGTATTTCTTCTTTTTTTTTTGGTGAATAAATCGACTGTATTTCCACTTGTATTGATAGCAATGCTGCATCACTGATTGGTGCTGGCCTCTGTGTATGAATAGTAATTAGTTATAAAGGGGGTGAGAGTTGTTTTATCTGTTTTTTACTCATCATTAGGAAGAATCTAACAATCTTATTTTTTGGAGAATATAAATAATAAAATAATTTTTTTGATAACTTAAAATTTTTTATCAGCTAATAATTAATAGTTTGTCATGAAAAATGTTAAACGTAAATAAATAAATACACTGATACATAATAATATGCGGTAATGAAAATTTTGCAATTATAAATCATAATGAGTTTTATAACTTTTAGGTTATCCAAAAAAAATTAAATAAATAAATATAAATGACATTCGAATCATCACTTACTTGACAATTTAAATATTTGTATACATTTGAATTATAACATCATTTCTTGCATAAATTCAGGACTTTATAACATAGCCAGAAAATTACAATAAAAACATTTTGTTCTTTTATTTATTTTAATAAAAAAACCCAACATTTCTTGACATGGCATGCCATAATTAAGGGTGTACATGTATAATTAGATATATGAAAATAAGGTGTGTACACCTCATTTGGTGTGCTATGATGAAGATTTAAGACATCAAACCTTTAATTGTTCATTTTTAAAAATTTAATAAGTTGAATCTAAATGAAGGGGAAAAAAAATAAATAAATCAATTTATTTTTTTAAAAAAATAATAATAATAGGGCAACTGCAAAGAATAATTTGAACAAGAAAAAAATAGGTGTCATAGCTTCAAATAGACATTGACACCCATATCTATGTGTACATAATAATAATAATAATAATGATAATAATAATAAGACTATATACACAAAACTAATTACATAACCAATCATATAAAACAATCTTGGCCATACATGTAAGATGGTGGAATTCATCATAAAATATACAATTTCACTCAGATTGTTTCACCTATATTTTATGTGTTAATTTTGTGATCGGTTCTATATCCATAGGCTTATTGATATTATAATAATATTGCATAGATTATCAACATATGGAGCATGCATGAATGTGATATTGTTAATTAACTCGACAGTCAAATGGACCTGTACTTATGAACTTATGGTAAGGGTTTGACATTCGGACCATATTTGATTCACTGCATTGACCATATGGTACTACCAAATGTTGCATGCAATTTGAATATATTTATACATTTATATACATAGAAGAATTTTATAATGCATACCCCCTTATGATATACGCATTTAATTATGCCACACACCTTTATAAGTGTTTTCCTAGATTAATAATAAAGAAAATGTTATAAATTCTAAATTTTTTATCAAATAAATGATTAAATGTCTGACATAGATGTAAGGTTTACAAAATTGCAGTTTACAAAATTGCGAACCCATACTCATACGAGACATTTGGTCATTTATTTGATAAAAAAATTGACATTCCTAACATTATCTAATAATAAAGTTGTTGATTACATGCACGGGTCCCATTATTGTTTTCATACGATTGATTTCTATGATGGAAAATGCTATGGACCCCAAACAAATTACCAAATTTTCTACCAAACCTCTCACATAGGTGTGGGATCCACACAAATCAAATGTGTGTGGGTCCCACACCCATGTGAGAAATTTGGTAAAAAAATTAGTAATTTGTTTGGGTCCCTAGCATAACTCTTCTATGATTTGCAAAAACTGTGCAATTCTTCAATTGTATGAATTACTTGACTTGCCAACTACCTCATTTATCAATAGGGCTTGGGCTTGTTTTATAATGGGTTAAATAATTCAAAAGATTTTTTAAAATTAGGATAAATTACAAACATACCTTTTAAAGTTTGATTAAAATACAAATTACTCTTTGTAGTTTTAAAAATTACATTTCACTCCTAAGATTTCTAATTTCATAATAAATCGCTCATTTTATTAATAAATTATCAAGTCAATTAACAGTTTTTAATGATGTTAGAAATATGTTTTGATTAATAATTTAGGTAATTTTATTATTGTATAGGAGAGCAATTATGAATTTCATTTTTTTAGTTAATTCTGTTAATAAAAAAATACTAACAAAGAGGTATTTGTAATTTTACAAACCACAAGGGCGCAATCTGTATTTTAAGCAAACTTCAAGAGATATATTTGTAATTTATCCAAAAAATTATAAAAAAATTAATTTATTCTTTTATTTTTTTTCATTTCTTTTTATAAAAAATAAAAAATAATTAAAATAGCCAATTCTCTCAAAACAATCCTTATTTTTAAGATGAATAGTAAATCTTTTAGTTCAATCTCGGTCCGGCATGACCCCGTAAACTGTCCCGACATTGATTCCGGTCAGCTTTTACATCGGTCCGGCATGACCCCGTAAACTGTCCCGACATTGATTCCGGTTAGCTTCTACATCGGTCCGGCATGACCCCATAAACTGTCCCGACAATGATTCCAGTCAGCTTTTACAACGGTCCGACATGACCCCGTAAACTGTCTCGACATTGATTCCGATTAGCTTCTACATCGGTCCGGCATGACCTCGTAAACTGTCCAGACCTTATCTTCTCCAACGGTCTGACACGACCACACAGTGTCTTCAACAACGATCTGACACGACCATACAGTGTCTCCTATCCTATTTTATTTTTTAGTTTGTTTTCCTGTTTTGTTACTCTCTCCAAACTCAAGTTGGTTAATCCTCCTTGAGTTTGAGGGGGGCTGTTAGTGTATATTAGTGCTTGTAATGATGTTAGTAGGTTAGTACTTGTCTTTATTAAACATTACTTTAAGTTAGTGTTCGGCTACTTTCGGCCACTTTCCTATTCAGGTTTGTAATCCTCTCCTATATAAGGAGCTTCTAACATTGTTAAAGACACAACATATATCAATCATAATACATACAATTTATTCTCTCTGTAATTCTCTCTCTATCAATTTATCTTACATGGTATCAGAGCTAGGTTAACAACTTAGTAATTCCGCTTCACCGGCGGACGGCATCCTCACCTTGGCCGCCCGTCGGACCTCTACACATACCTTCACTCCGCTGCCACAAATTCTGCTCATAGTCCACCTTCTATGGTTTCAGGGTTAAGCCCAACACAAGCTAGACAAGCTCTAGATCTTACCACCATGTCTTCGAGCTCAGGCTCCATCATGGACCGGGCCGATCCGGTTAACCCGTCTAGGCAAGTAACATGGTTGGTGAGAACACTACTGAGCCATGAATGGGCATACTCGGCTGTCCTTTTCTCAATTGCCACCACAGAGTCCATCACTCTATCCATTGACAGTTCCATCAACTCCAGGCAATCTGCTAGAGCCCCTTGCTCTCTCTTGTCGTTGATCCGATGGCTGATACCGCCTACTGTCTCGATAGTCTTTCGTATGCCCGATGTGGATTTCTTCAAGAAGGCCTGCAGCAAATCAGGGCCCTTCATTTGCAT